CATGAATAGAGTAACGAAGTGATGACGTCGCAMAAGGAAATTTTCAAATTCGACCTCATACTCTGAAAAGCGCTTATATCCAATATGCTATTTGTGTTTGTCACTGAGACATCCACTTCCTCATCGTCGAATGGTAACACTACCTCACGAGGCTGGCTTGCAGGCTCCTTGAAGAACAACAACACCAACTTTATTTATTGTGCTGAACATAACGYACAGCGGTCTAAAATCAAGTTCGTCAGCCGAGCTGACGTGTCTGTTAAATCACCTCTAACCTTTTTGATGGGCGTTCCCGTGATGCAATGGTTTGCGGTGAGTTCGACTTCATTTTCTCCTACTGCATCAGTGTCACATGATACTCAGACTGCCAGGTTCCTTCAACAACAACAGCAACAACTTTATTGTACTAAATATGCATTTTGTATGTGTACTCTAAAATCAATATCAAGTCGATGCGTCGACGCCTCTTGCTGTTCATTCTTATTTGAAATCTGTACGATATTTTGAAATCTTATCATCTTTTAKATACTTATATACTTTCCTCTTTTTACATTATAGTAATGTACGAAAACACTCTTTTTATTCCTTAGATAAAATTTTCATTTAGATAGAAAACGCTCCCGAGAGATTCTATAAGCTGACTTGACGCTTTTATATTTTTTTGACACTATTCTGAACAATCAATGATTTAGTAGTTACCGTTATTGAATAATCATTTGTTTGGTAACTCATATCCTATTTATCTAGAAAAATCCAATTTAGATATAGTTAAACATGATTTTGTCTTGAAGAGGTTTTGTTTTGTTAAGTATCTTTCTGTTTGTTCCCGCATTGGTAAATACATGGTTCAGATGTTAAATCTGGAGTTAGGGGCTAGCAATGTACATGTTCGTCATATTGCCGAAAAAGAACTAACGCTCCAATCCCTGATCAAAAGCAACCATTCCCAAAAAGTCCAGAATTATCAAATTTATTTTCAAACCAAAGTCAATAAAAATGAGCGACAATTAATTGCAACGTTTCGTTGTCATCCCGACAACATTTTCAAGCAGATTTAAAGTCATTTTTTTTGTTTTCTTTTTTTTTTTGTTTTGTTTTTGTTTTTTGTTTTTGAGAGCGTAGTCTAGCACGTAATCGGTCCTTAGACTAATAAACTTGTGGCCCTCTATATATTCACTCATACTCACTACCTCAACATTCATTATTTTACTACACGACACTCCTCACAGCTAGTTTTTGACTGAGGGAGGAAAACCAGCGGACCTGGAGAAAAACCCTCGGAGCAAGGAAGAGAACCAGCCTACAAACTCAAATCACATATAGTCCCGGACCGGGAATCGAACCAGGACCACAGCGGTGATAGACCGGCGTTTTAACCTGAAAAATCTGCTTGAAAATGTTGTCGGGATGACAACGAAACGCTGCAATTTATTGTCGCTCGTTTTTATACTACAATGTTTCTCCAAAGTTCTACTAATCAAAAGTCAATAAACCATGAAATATAATCGGTAGGTCCAATTGAAAATCTATACATGGAGATATACTTTTTTCAGAAATTGGCTTGGGGTAATGGATAACTTCAAATGCAATTATCGGTAAATCTGTTTGGCAGAATTCTCTGTGTTTTTTTTTATTGGATCCTTAAGATTACTAGGATCACAGCTTCTATAAGTAAAGCATATATTCTTAAGTATCCCAGGGGTCAATTTTGAGTGAGGTAGAAAATCATTTTTGATAATGAACGGTTAGGTGGCCATTTTGAAAATGGGTCTATATTTTGAAAATGGGTCTATTTCCTTTTGACTAAGTGCGAAGGACATCTGCCTGCAGGACAATTGCCGTGAGATTTCGCAAATTATTTCTAGTTTTTCTTTTCAAAAAGGTTTCCGGAAAAATCTTTATAAAGTGTTGCATTTCAAATCATCTGTAGTGATCTGTGTCCATTAGCGCCCGTGGTGCATAGAAATACTTTTTAAATCGCTCTTCATAGAAAAAAAATTATCATAATTAAAATGATTAAATTTTGATTCTAATTTTCCGCATCTTGGAGGACCTCTTGCTTTCAGTATTGATAATAATGCATGATAATAATAAATAATATTCTAAGGTTATATAGCCCTTTTTTATATAGTTTTGTCTCAGGAAGTTCTTAAGAAACATTTTACGCCAAACGAATGGCTCATCGATCATGGTTACCAAACCACTAGTGTACCCTCAAAGGTTTCGTCCATGTCAATAATGCAATATAGTATAAGGAAACGAATTATGGACCGTAACACCGTTCTTGTGATACTTTTAGGACGGTTACCCTCGTCCTTCGTTAGCACATATAACTCTGTAAGAATAGAGTACGTTCTTAGCCTCGTGGATAATGCAAGGGTGACACTAGGGAGAAACGAAATGCGAATGCGCATGTCTGTAACAAGCAACAATCGGTTAATCTCGAMGATTTTGGTATTTAAAAATGTATTTTTTTATGTACCAAAAAGAAAAACAAACAAACAAAAAACAAAAACGTTTTCGTATTTAATTTACTACGGTGTTATCATTTATCTGTGATAAGAAAAAACCTTTCAACTATTTTTTTTGACATTTGCAATTTTGTGAAATACTCAAGATCTAAAGTTGAGACTGACCGTATGCCTTCCGAGCGCGCGTTCACAGTGCGTTTCTTCCCAGTATCCCCAAGAATGACTTACTTAATTTGTGTCYGTTTATTGTTTATCGGGGAAACTAAGAAGATATTAAAGCTGGTTAAAGACTGTTAATTGATTGTTTTTTTTAAAAATATTACTTGTTTATTAAAGGACAGCAGCTGATACAATATTTGTATTCCCAATCTATGTAMTSATCGAGCAGTTAAGGCTCGAAAGCAGTGCGCAAMTTACTGAARGCTATTTCACATCGTCTAAAGGTCCTTAACAAAGGACGAACAACTTCCAAAACGTCAGTAAGTTCTCTATCTTTTTGATTGTCATATTTTGTATTATATTATCGTGCGTGCTACAACTTGAAATTTTGTCGGCGCTATTGTGCTATATGCGAGATCAAAGAAAACAGAAATTTTTAGTGCTAGAGAGGTAAAATTCACGATGTAAAACCCTTGAAAATTAATTCGAAAAAAATTAATTTCTTTTCCATTTTTAATTTTTATTACTATTTCAAGTATTTTATTTTGCCACGCAGTCCACATAAAAAAATACTTACAATATGTACTATATTATGGGGTATATACTACTGTTAGAACAAAGAGCCAGGCAATAGAGTGCTTACAATATGACCATGAAATAAAATCTGAATATAGTCAGTAGAGTGATCGCACTTAAACCGTGCAGCTGTACAAAATCTATAAGTAGTATTAATTTTAGTAAAAGTGGACCTGAAGCAAGACGGTATTGAATGCTTCATTTGTATCATTAAGAGTGAACGCACTTAATCCGTGCAACTGCATGTACAAACTAAATAGTGCCTTTTAGTTGTATTTAGTAAATCGTGCATGCAGTATGCAAATTAAATTGAATTGATACAAATGAAATACTGAAATATATTCTTATTCTTATTTTCCCGGTAGATATTTGTTTTAAATATTTTACACGCAAGATCATACTTGAAAAGCGGCGTTCAACTGACGATCTCGGGTTCGATTCTCGACTCGAGCAGCTTCTAAACAATTTTTTTTCTTTCTTTCACTCTTTACCTTTGAAATATACTCGTTCTTTTTTTCTTTCTAAAATCATTTTATGTAAAAGCAAACTATCATCTTATAAATTCTCTGAGGATAATGCGATTGCAATCTGAATTCTAAATTTTCGCTTCAATCATAAAAATATTAAAAAAATGATGTGAAAAGATCATACGCAAATAAATCTATCAAATCGATCACGACGGTGGTAAAAATATTAGCGTATCCTGGACACGGTATGTTCCACGGTATGTTCTTGTTTGTACTAAAAGTGGACCCTGAATGCTTCATTTGTAGAGTGATCGCACTTAATCCGTGCAACTGTACAAACTAAATAGTTCTTTTTAGTATTTAGTAAATCGTGCATGCGGTACGCAACAAAAAATGAATTGATACAAATGAAGCATTCAATACCGTCTTGCTTCAGTTCCACTTTTAGGAGGGTCTCAATGGGGTGGTACGCATCACGACTCACGGCTTGAAATTTGGCGATTTCACGGCTCACGACTAATTTTTTTTTAATCACGGTTAACTAGATTACTTTTAGCAATTTTTGAATTGCGTTTTTCATTGCTTTTTCTTTTTTCGTATGAATAGACTGCGTGACTTATGGGACATGGATTTTTCTATTTTCAAATAAGCCGAAATGCGACTATTTCCGAGAAAACTAAAAGATTAATCATAGATTCATAATAAACAAAAAAAAATCCAAAAAGTGTTAAACATAGCAGGTATTGAGAACATAGTAGTGACATTGCTGCAGTCCGTGTCTGACATCGGAGTTTACGAAATTTCACTAAGTGTCGCTTTTCGCGCGATGATGTATTCTATGCCGGGCTAAATGTGCATGGTAAAATCAGGAAGTTTGTAGCGTATTCATATTATTATTTGA